TGTACCCATTCAGGACGTTGATGACGAAGGGGTGCACTGGAAATCGCAGCCCGAACTGCAGCTGCCGAACATAGACCCCAATATAACCAGGAGGGGCCCGATAGATCCTCTCCAGCACTGTGGGCATTCGGCACCAATACCCATTGGCTTCCATTATGCCGTAGTAGACCTCCAACTGCTCGGCAAAGTGGTACCGAGCATCATTTGCAAGCCACCATTCGGCTGGCTCGGTCTTCAACAAACCAGAGTTCTTGTATTCATCGGTCCATTCCCTCTCTTCAGGGGTCAAGGGCCGAGGTCTAGTAGGAGCCCTTCAGCCAGAAGTACATGCTTCGGCTGGCTCCCTAGGAGGGGCGCTGTTTAGCGGAATAACCCTTAATCCTTCTCCCCTTGAGGATGAACCAACCTCAATTCGGGCGTTTGGGTTTCGGCCGCTAAAAAACGGCATTACTGGCAGAGGACGGTTCCTCTTCAGAATTAATTGCGGCACTTCCTCCTCAATAGTCTCATCTTCAGGCTCCATTGCCCTTTTACCAGGGTTGCCGGCCATTTCTAGGTCGACGGCGACGCGAAAAAAGTGGGAAAAAGGGGAATAGCTTAAAAGAAGGGGAAATCCGAATGAAATTCGGAGGAAATTACCTTTATCTGACTCGAAATTCGCCGATTTAGTGGTTCGGAGCAATGAATTCTGCTGAAAAGCTTCGGAAAAGGCGAAAATGGGTGAAAGAGAAAAAGAGCTTGCGCGAGTTCGCTGGAAAAGTGAGAGTGAAATGCGAAGAGTGTTTTATTTGGGAATTCCGGAAATGATTATGCAAAATGCAAATTAAATACTTGGTGCAAAAACCCACTCACTTAATGTCAGTTTACAAACTCTTCAAATTCTTCCCAAACCAATTGCAAACCGCCAAAATTTAATTTCCACTAAGTCCACTCCACTTCCCCACTATCATTAGTTAACCGTCATTAAGGTTAATTAATCATCATTAACGGTTATATTAACTGTACTGAATTATCAAAAACATTTAAATTATTTTCATTTATTTCCCTCCAAATCCTTCAGCTGCTGAAACCCGACCCGTTATCCTCACGAATCGGGTCTGGGGGGCAAGTTGTTTGGGGTCCAAAATACTTATATTTGGGCCCAGTCATAATGAAAATAATAAAAGCCCAATAGGCAAGGTACAACCCTCCATGCATTTGCTAAGTCAATTATAGCAAGGCCCAATCAAATGGCAGCTCATTTGACTGATCAAGCCCAACCTAACTAATGGAACAAAGGTATAAAATCTTTCATTTCAATACAATTACATTCATACACATTAAATGCCTCAAGCAACAAATACTCTTGCATAGCTTTTCCCTAATACTTTTTCATCCGTACTGACTTCGGCATCGGAGGGGCCTTCCTCGGCACACCCCACGAGGCTAGTTTACGTTTGCATTGCTGTGCAGGAAATCCCCAATTCGGTCATCGCTCGAATTGGGCTTCGTCTCCACTTATCCGAAGGGCCAGACGAAGGCCCATTGTTTTCTGACTGAAACAATTTATATTTTGGACTATATAGAGGATTTTACCTTTCTTCTTTCCATGTCAATGTTAGCTTTCTTCTTCTTCTCATTCTCCCACTCGATGATCTTCTTGCTCATCTTCACATACCTAATATTATATAGCACCCTTAATTAGTTCTGTTGTTTATTCATTATCGATGTTTATGTATGTTTACGATTATATGAATATGATTCGTGTAATATGTATTATGTACCAATTATTGATCTTGGCTAATCGCGCTTGCTCCCATTCATCTGCTTTATTTGGCATCCTTCTGCTCCCCCTTTGCTCTAATCCTGATATTTCAATAGCTCTTGTTGAAGTCCTTGGCACAGAAATTGAACCTTGATCACCTGCACATGTTATCTTACCGTACTTAAAAATGTCATACATAACATATACATACTAATTAAATAAACAAAATTATAGCTAGGGAGGTCCAAAAGTATAGTATAAAATTACATCTTACGTATTTTAATTTGCTTAAAACTAAGGGTTACTTAAGCTAAACCAATACTTGTAATGACTAGTGAAGTACTGATAGACAAATATTCTTAAAGATTGCGTGCGAACAAATAGTTTGGATTGTGTTTGATTTGAGTCAATTTTAGACTGGTGATATTCGAGTTTAATGATAAATTCTATTTCCATTTTTGGAAAAGCAAATAATGTTACCCAATGTTTTGGTCAAAATTATATTCATCGTATACAAGTCAGTTTTACTAGGTCTATATTACGCTCCAATGCAGACTAAGCTGATTAATCTTGGTTAAATCATGCCTCAAATTCAGAAACCTTACCACCATCTCTCCTTTCTACTTGCGATGATCGTCCCATTAGATTTCCTAAACTCGACCGTTCAAAAGAGTTATCATCTCGACTATTTATCCTGCTCTTGCTCTTGATTGAATTAGGATCCTCTCTAAAGCTCTCTACCATTCTTTTCTCGAACTCGGCTCTCGTTTCTTCTAGGGAGTATATCGCATAAGCTGCTGCTGCAATGGTTGCTGCGAATTGATCGCTTTCCTTGCTGTTCATTATTGAGCTCCCTTTCAACAACCAACACACAGTACATTTCATAAATAAAACTTTATAATAAGTGGATAGATATTTAATTATACAGTATTATTATTGGATTGAAAATACAAAAAATGCAAGCTAAGGTTTTCAATTTAAGAAAAGTACCTCGTCTAAAAGATTCTGATTTCATAATGTCTCTGGTGTTTACGTAATCTTCAGGTCTCTCTTGTTGTACATCTGAAAAACTCACTCTAATATATGCTATACGTCAATAATAATGTTTGCTCAAAATGATTAACGAACCATGATTTACATGGGAAAGATAATTAAACTACCTCATAAATTCATAATCAATTGCTTTTATTTTATCATGGGACAAAGGGAACATGTATTTATTCTTATTTATTTGTGTACAACATTGTTATTACATGACGACACACTAAATGCTTTTAAAATCTCCCAAAAACAAAGGCATGATGTTGTATGATAAATATTTTTCATTTTTTCACATAGTTATTTGATAGAGTGTAAAACATATTCCTAGGCCTTAATCATCAGTTTCAGTTTTTAGTTGAGTTGATATTCTAACATGGTATTAGAGCCAACGTGACATAAAAGTTACGGGTTCGAATCTCATCCTACCGTACCGTACCCTCCTTTTCAAACGGAGGACACATGCTGCATCCACACATCAAGCCTGATAGAGTATAAAACATATTCACTATAACTAATTTATGTTTTTCCCCTTTAAGGAGACAAAAAATGGATGATAATGGTGTTTCATTAGTTGCAACTTGCAAATATGAACAATTTTATGAATTTTTATATCTTATATTTTAGGTACCACTTTTTGAAAGTTGTTCGCTTGTTCTTACTATCTATTTCTTCGATTAATTAAGGAGCCTAACTTAAATTTTTTTCATTTCAAAACATCGTTTTTTTATTTTAAAAAAAATCCTCTATCTTTTTCTTCTACCTAATTAATTCCTAAACACCTTTAGTAAAATCTGCTTAGAATTTGGGAGAGGCTAAGATCATCACATACATCACATTGTGGTGCAACCACGGTATACAATTTCAATTGTGTTAAGATGGTTTAAACTAAATGTATCGATGTACATATAGGTTTTATTGAAACAATGGTAAAATTCAAATAAGGCATGAATAGAAAGTATTATACCTTCGGCGATGCCTCTTTTGCTGGTCCATTATCCTTTACAATGTGCACATACAACACGTAGAACAATCTATCAATCTTCTTTGTAAACTGATCTTATTCGTTATATATATTCTTGATGGAGCGATACGCAGCTTCCCTAGCTTGATATATATGCAAACTAGCTAGATCATTGAAAAAAAATTAAACAGATTATGCATTTAGGTATTTGCATTGTGGTATGAATAATATACAGTAGAACTATATATGAGAGAACGAGAGACCGTTAGGGAAGTAATATGTAACGTGTAAATAATATACTTTGCATACGTACTAAGAATGGTTTTGGCAATCTTATACTTAATCCTCGAACTGATGGTTAGGCAAAATTACTAATGAAGCAAGGAATCTTTTTATGCATCAATGAAATGTTTTCATAATTAATCATAAACTTGAACATTAGAGAAATGTTTTAATTTTTAAGGTGCTACAGTTGCTACACGTACAGCTACGTGTTAACAGTTATTTTTATCTTTGTTTTGGTTTAAGAAATCTTTAATTAAGGTAAAGTTACCAAAAAAATAAAAAAATAAAAAAACTGATTTTATTGTAAAGAATTGAAAAATGAAAATAGTGTCTTATCAACTTTATCTAATTAATTTAGTTGTAAACTTGATTTGTTGTACAATGAAATCAAAGCATCAAGGAGCTCAAAATAAGCAAATGATAGAGTAAAATTAAGTTGTATTATGCATATGTTGTCTGAAACAATAATTACTCTTGTATTCAATGACAATAATAGGGGCTTATTGGTACAATTAGACTTCATGTTGGTACTTTTGTCTTCAATGACAATAACAAGGGTTTGTTGGTACAATTAGACCTCATATTGGTATAGTAATTGTACCAGCACGAGGTCTAAAAGTACAATGCAACAATCTAATGAACATTTGTTATCATCATTTATGACAAGAGTAATTAATAGCATGCATTTCCTCTACAATAATGGAGGCTTTGTACCCTCTGCTTTTGTTGATTGGCCGATGAGTTATAGATTAGCATTTTGATGTATGATGCAACCATATATGAAAATTTAAATGTATTTGGGTTTGGACAATAAACTATGTAAAACTTGTAGGCAAATATCCCTCCTCTTTGCACTACCTACTTGTATGGAGGACAAGGGTTTGGCTTTTGTTGTTTCCAAGCCTAAGTGGACATTAAAAGGTGCTTTTTTTCAAATATCAAATGAGCAACACGGATCCAATGCCATGTTTTATATTTTGGGAGCGAAACCTTTTAAATCAAAACTCGAAAACCGGCAATTTTAGTCTTCAAACCTTTCTTTGCCCGCGTTAGCATCAAAGCTCTCTCCTTTCCTGATTTCCCCCCTCAAAACTCAAAAAGAATCCAGCAGTAAGCAGTGTACTAACCCACCCACCTTCTTCAATCAACAATGGCGGAGGACCCATCTCCGCCATCACCAGAACTCACCGAAGAGTTAAGGCAAAGGATAGAAACCAACCGTTTACGTGCCTTAGCCAAGCGCCAAGCATCCTTATTATCAAACCCTCAACACCCAATTGATTACTGGAAATCATTCAAATCACGGAAAGTAATCGACCCATCAACCAATTTACCCGTTCCCTCCAAAATTGAACCCGTTTCTCCGCCTTCGAGGTTTCGGGTTCGACTCGAAATCTGTTCTTCTGATTCTTTCTTCATTAATCCTGATCGAATTCAAGGGTTTTGCTTTCCGGGTCAAGAAGATTGCTTTCAAATTATTGAGGCTTGTCTTTCAAATGTGAGCATTTGGGTATTTTGGGATTTTTATTTCATTGTTGGGTTTTAGTTGAATTGGGGTTTTACTTGGTTTTAACTTTTAAGCTTCATGTTCTAATTTTAATGAGTTTTGCAATTTTTGTGTGGAAATTGTGGTATATATGTTAAGCTTGACTCATTTCATGTTTTCATTTTTTGCTTGAAGTATTATCCAATTGTGTTTGATGAACAAAGATTGTTGTTTTTAAATATTCCGTCGGGTGTGAACTATGCTGTGAAATTTATTTTTTTGGCAAATTTGATTCATTATGTGAGTATGTTTTGCTTGCAATATGTACATATTCGTTTGATGATAATAGTTGCATTCTGCAATCCTGGTTTGTTGTGAGAATGCAGTTCATGCTAAGCTTTCTATAATTGTGTTCTGCTGGACCTGTATGCTTTTATGTTTGATGATTGTAGCTGCATTTGATTCTACTTATGCTACTATCTCAAAACAACTTATAGCTTCAACACACATTCTATTTTTGCTGGAACAGAACAAACTTGGATGTTCGATTTAATTAATTTGTCAGTAAAGGGTGTGTATTTGTCTCCAGTAATACACAATTATCTGGACAATGTTTGCTTCGAATTGGTGGTTGCTGAGCTTCTGTGTGATGAACAACAATGCAAAGCTATAAGTTGGTGTCTCTTGTGTGGTCACTTAGCTGGAGGAATGTGTGTTGAAGCTATTCTACTTTCTGCATAAACTTCCCTGACTTGTGCTGTTTTGTGCTCTCTTCTTTGACTAGGTTATGTCGACACATTATACACAAATCCATGGTGGTGGGAAGGCGTCTGTTTATAAGCTTACATATTATGACGCAGTTCTTAAATGCTTAAAGAACTGCACTGACATTGAAGAAGTTGAAGAAATACCATGGACAACTTATAATGTGATGATGAAACTTTCTCATTCCCACATGCCTGGAAATTGGACACCGTGTAGGCCTGAGCATTTGCCTGATGAGAAGGTTGAGGAACTGATAAAGAAGCTGCCAAGAAAATTGTTGGATACTCTCTTGCCTTTTCAGCTTGATGGACTAAAATTTGGATTGCAAAGGGGGGGTCGGTGTCTTATTGCTGATGAAATGGGGCTTGGCAAGACCCTTCAGGTAGCATGAGCTTTGATATATCAACTCACTTTCTTACTTGGTTTGGAGTCATGCTTTGTTCCATTCTTATTGTCTTGATTTTTATCCCTTCTTAAGTTCTCTTATACGAGTATATATTATGCTGTAACCTGAATCTGTGACGATCTTAATATTTAATTGTGGCCTAAAGAATTTGCATGTGCTCATGAACTTTAATTTGATGATATAGGGAATGAACATTGTTTAGGAGCCCTTGTGTAGAGGAGAAGGATAAAGATGAATTAAAAGAGGGTTCCTTATGATAAGGAGAGAGAAAGAGAGAACCCATAGCCAAGTTTATTGATGTTGCATTTTATAAGCAACTTCCAAATAAGGAAAATGTTTTGATCGTTAAAAACCGAGGAAGGCTTTATAAATTCATGGATGAGTATATATTAAATTTGTTTGTTTCCTGCTGGAATGTAATCCACTTCATTGACATGATGTTTTCTTGGTTTCAGGCCATTGCCATTGCAAGCTGCTTTGCCAGTGAAGGCTTAATACTTGTTGTTTGCCCTGCTATCTTACGCTATGCATGGGCTGAAGAATTGGAACATTGGCTTCCTTCTTATTTGCCAGCTGATATCCATCTTGGTACTGTCCTGGATGACCTTTTCTATTAATTTCTTTAGCTAATAGCTTTTTTCTCTTCCATCCCTGTAAGAAGCCTGTATTGGTAGGGTTTAATGCACCTTAAGATCTTTCCTGCCCTCTTAGGAACGTTAATCATTTTCATAGGATGAACTATGGTTAGAGCATAGCATTCTGATTGGATTAGAAAGTTTGGCCTAGGACTCATTGTTCTCTCAAATGATATCTTTGTAAATGAGTGATAACTATTTTGATTGGCTATTTGGCAAGGGAGTTTAAAACCCATTTTTTTCCTTTGCTTATGGTCTACTGGCTTCTGATTTATGATTGCCCCGTTGTTCATTTTACCAGTTTCATCTTGTTTCCACAATAACATCTAATGATGAGCTTAAGTGTTCTAGAACTTTCTTATTATCTTTTTGTTAACATATGGCTGAGCAATTTTTGGCATTTTGATACATAAGTATACCACTTTCTAGCTAGTTGATGTATCGCTCTTAGGGTCCTTCTTACTTCATTATAATCATAGACAAAAGTTTACATGTTTGCTTTTGTTTTCATTATGGGTTTACGCGTGTATAGGGTGCGTTGTAAGTAGCCCTATTAGCTACTGGCGTTGCATCTGGTTTTTTTTATTTTATTTTTATTTGTATATATATATATATATGTATATATATATGTATATATATGTATATACATATATACATATATATGTATATAAATGTATATATTTGTACATATATATATATATATATATATATAATTGCTGATATACTTCCTTCACCCTCTAAGAGTGTGTTTTATTCACCTGGTTTTCTTATTAGACCTTATTAAAACGTATTTTAGTAATGAACTTGGGTTACCCTTATACTTATTTTTCCTGAACTTATATCATATGAACTTATTTAAATTAAGTGAAAATAAAGGTGAACAGAACATGGCCTTAGTGTATTACAAATATGGGAGCATTGTACCACTTTATCCCATATCTAACTACATATATTTTTGGCATATTATATGTTGGAAGAATTTCTGCATTATGTAAAATAATAGTTGTCACAAATGCAAAAGTAGTCCTTTGATTTAATGAAGTATAACTTATAATTATTGGAAATTTGATAAGTATTGCTTGCTTTGGCTTCTTCTTACTAGATCAAATTGTAAAAGCAGGTGATGTTTGTCTTGTTTTGATTTTAACACTTGCACATTTATTTTCTTCAGTATTTGGTTATAAAGACAATCCTGTGCATTTGAAGAGATGTCCAAAAGTTGTTGTCATTTCTTATACTATGCTTAAACACTTGCGAGATAGTATACTGAAATGGGAATGGAGTGTCATGATAGTCGATGAATCACATCATATACGATGTTCAAAGAAGAAATCAGAGCCTGGAGAGGTAGACTATTTTATTTCCCTTGTTTTATCGGAATATTGTTGGTGAGCACATGACTTGGCTGTATTTTGTATATTTGCTAAACAATCCTAGATTTTGTTTCTAGTTGCATAACTTTGCAACAGTTGGTTATCTAAGTCATGATAACATGATTTCGTAAGCTCTGAACACTTGTTATGAGAAGAATGGATCATTTAAAGAGTAGAAGATTAGATTTTTTTTCCCAGATCATGTTATTATCTAAAGAGGCTACTATGGGAATTTTTTTTTTTTTTTACCTAACATAGTTACTCAGCTGTCTCTGCTGGTATGTTTTAGGGGCCTTTGTTTTGTACTTTCATTTTCCAAACAGGAAAGTCCCTGCACTACTTTTGCAAGTACCTTATAGATAATTAATATGTATGGGAAATTTAAACTTGAAATTGTGATATTAGTATCGTGGTCGTAGGACTTCAGAAGCTTTTCTTTTCTGTATATTTTCAATTTAAGGATTTCTTGTCTTGTGGTTGTATGCCATTCCTTTTAGTTTCCAATTATTATCTTACAACCAAAAAAGACTTCCTACTCTTTGTACGGAGTATTTTTTTAATAAAGAATTGACATGGAAAAATGAGTGTTAATAGAAGCATATTACTCTTCCATGATCCATCCATGTTTTTGCGCTCTAAACAAGGAGGCGATATGCTAGCTAAAAATTTAGCCCTTGACATTGAACACCATTTCAACATGCTTTGTCATGTGTTAATACTCTATTGTGTTTAATGATACCTTCAAGGGTTATAATATTCTCCTCAAATTTGTTGAAAGTAATCTTTTTATCCTAAAATTGGTTGAACAATTCCCTTAAGGGTTAAGATATTCACCCTAAGGGCATGCTTGGATTGAGAGTAATAACTAAACAAAATGAATGTGAATATTGGGGAGGAGTAGATAGTGATGGAGTTATTGCAAGGAGTTTTATGTAATGGTGGTGTGGTGATAGGTGAAGATAGGGAACTAATACCTTCATTTTGGGGGTAATGGTTACACTAGGGGAAAGGTGGGTAAGTGGGTTACTATTATCCTCATTAGGAAGATAATGATTTCTCCACCTCTCTCTTTTCTTCATGTCACAAATACCTTATTTCATTTATAAACACCTTACAACACCACCTCTATTCACTTATGTTTTTCCTAACTTGACTTTTATTGCCTCCTTTATTTATTACCCCCAATCCAAGCATGGCCTAAAGGATATATCTCTAATTTAGAGCTGACATTAGTTGGATTAATTCCTTTTGTGCTTTTAAGAATAATAGTAATGCTATGTTGCACAATTGTGTGTATAGTGTTATACTTTCTCCGTATTTATTTACTTGCAACACAACCTTGTGGCACGTGCTTTGAGGTTGAGATTATATAATGCAAACGGACAAATTATTCAAAATAAATTTTACACATGATATACCTAACCCTACTCTAATCATCATGTTAAAATTATTTTAAATCGCTCGTTCCTAATCATCTCCTAAAACTGCTTGCATAAAAGGTGTGTTATGAGTAAAAAGGAAACAACGGAAATAAAACTTATTCTATTCATCTTATTTCAGAAACTTATTACTAATTCTTTTTTATAATCAGGCAAGGTCGGATCAAACTGAACGCAAAAGATTTAAACCTAAACTTCTTATTTCTAATTACTTTTATTTTATTTTATTTTTTATTATTTTTTTTTTCATATATGTGATTGTGTGACTAAATATTGTTAAAAAAAAAAATAGATTTATGGAAAAACAGATCGAGACAAATTCAACAAGATACTGTTTTTTCTTATACATTACGGTCAAAGTCTAGTCCAACCTAGAAACCAGATCTGACCAGACCTTAATTAAAACAGATTAGAACGCCTTAATCAAGTCAAAATATATTTCAATTGGAGGAGAACATGTTCTGAGTAACATGAAATCCATTGGTATACTTTTGTTTTAGTGAATTGTAGGTGATCCATTTTATCTAATAAAAATAAAATATCATGCTGTCCCTTGTTTATACTCATCTCTACTTTAATGGGGAAAAGTGGCTACCCATTTCTAGTTCCAGGAAGACAATGAAAATTAGAAATTAAAAAAATTTGGATCCCGTGAAGAAGATTTGCTACCTCTGATCACATCATGTCAGATTTCTGGAATGATCTTGAACGTGTAATGGTGTAAGTCATTTAAAAACAACTTGCAATAACAAGAATAAATTGACTGTAGATAAATTCTTGGATTATTTCACTAATTTGACAAGAGTAATGGAGGGAGAGGATCTTGGTTGGTGACTACAGAATTCAAATACATTCAGTGTGGTATAGACTTTCTACTTTCATTGATATCTTTGGAAGGGGTTTTATTTTGTGCAGTTTTTCAGGCTTTATGTTTGTTGAAAAGAAGTATGAAACTGTAATGTTTGAGGAAGGAAATAGGCAGTTTACAAGGGGCTTGATGAGCTAGAATAAATAAGTGAGTGTTGCTCAGACTGAGGTTGAGACGTATAGCCATATACAATGAATTTGTTGAGACTTGAGTTCCTTCTTAAGGGTTTATATTGCTTTCATAATTGAAAAATGAATCCTTTTCTTTTAGAGGCTGAAAAGATGAGTGCGGTGCATTGAGAAGCCAGTCTGAATAAGATTATTGATCACTAATTTTTGTAGGTTTTATTTCAAAAGAATATTATTGAGACCATGTTAAAGTTGTGAAGGGTGGGAATTTTATTGCTACGTTTGAGATGGAGGGAGATGATATGCTTAGACCCTATTCTTGAAGTATGGGAGCTTCTTCATGTATGACATGCTTTGGGTTTTTGTGGAGTCTTATTATTGGGAAGCTTCACCAAGTCTTTATTAGAATTATAGTGCTAGATACCAACTTCTAATGGCATTATATAGATTATATACAATGGCTTGTTAATGTGCAATATTGGCATTATTGATGGTATAATAAAAGTAGTATAATCAAAGGGAAGAGAATGAAGATTGAGTGGTAGGGTTTGAAGTGACAACACCATTGTAGTGGGTGTGGTTTATTTTAAGTATCATCTTGTTTATGCTCAAGTGTTTTTAACGTAATGGAGCTCAAGTTTAAGCTTTCAATCAAAATTAAAAATATGTTCATTCTTGGCATGTATGTATAAATTAAAGATTTAAAGATATTGACCGATTATTCAATGTGCATTAGTTATGAAACCAAAATTAGAAATTTGTAAAGAATTTAAAATGAACAAAAAAACCTCCAAATTATCTCTTGATAGTCTTGAAATGAAAATAAATCATATTTTATTTTGTTTGCTGTTGTTCATGAGCAACAAATTTATCTGTGGTCAATCTCATATTTTAATGTAAATGAGCTTTTAAACTTTTTAGAAATTGGTTTATCTATTTATTTAAGCAAACACAAACAAGTTTTAGCTAAGCCAGGCTCAAGCTGCTCATTGATAGTTTGGTTCATGTATACCAATAGACGTGGCTGGAAGTTGGATAAGATCATGTGGTATCATGTTTGTTGAGCCTTGGAAGGGCTTTTGAGATTCATCTTTGGCATTGATGAGGTTGTGATGACAATGTAAAGAATGGAAGGTGGGTGCGTGTGCATGAATGCATGATCATGCTCTTGAGCTCACAAACAACCATAAATGGCCACCCACCATTAAACTTCTTCAAAAGGCATCTGATGAGGGTGTGCCAAGAAAAGCGCAGTGTGTCATCCAGTGTTATTTATACATATAGTGAAGCTAACTTTGTGCCACAAGTATTGTCGACTATAAATTTTGTGTCCCAAATGTAAAGTTTGTAGCTTGACATGTTTAGTCGACTTAAAAATCTTGTGATTTTGTAAGCGGTCTGCTTATAATAAGCTTTGCAGAGGTGAAGATTGTATCATCAATTTTCCTAAGCTAGTAGAATTTGATAAGTCCTAAACTACTAGAATTTATGAGTGCAATAGGGTATCATTAAATCATTCTCTGTCGCCTATGACAAAGGTCCCTTTGGTAGTTGGTACAGAAGGTAAAGCAGCATGTCCGTAAGGTTAATTCATTTTTATTGATTTTTGAGCAATATTACGAGGAGGAGAATTGATTGAGCTTAAGCAATCTATTTATGCAGACCCAAGAAGTTTAGGGTCATTAAGGGGTTTGATGGATAAATTAGAGTTATATTCATTTTGCTGTGGAAAAAAAATTTATTCAACCCTCTTTCTTAAGTAAGCCTTTCCATAGTTTAACTTGTTTAGACCACTAATGGACATGCCTATGAATTCGGAGGTGTTTATGTTGTATTTTTTTTGTTGAGGCTCATGATGTGGGTTCTGAAGTAGAGGAGAGATTACCTTGTCAGAACATTTGTTGAAGCTCAAATTACATTTCTTAAATGGGAGTGGATCTGGCATTTTCTCTTAGAATCTAGCAATAATGAGTGACGATCAATGAATTTTATTTGCTTACAAACAACAATAACAATGTGTAAAATAAGTTCTATGATATGACCTTTTTTTTTTTTATTTTTTTTTTATTCCATTCATATCTGATTAGAACTTGTTTAGATTGGTTTGATCTGATTTGAAGTAAGGTCAACTGAACTGAGTCTTACTGTTTTACTTTAGAATGTAGACTAGTCATTGATGGGTATCTACCCATCCAGGTTATTACAAATATAGTGTGCCACAGAAATTTTGTTTTTTCATTATTAATGTACCATTTTGGCTGCCAGTCTCTAGTCTAAATTAATCAATGCAATGCATTTTTAAATCTGATCAGAGTTGGACATGAAGAACAGAAATTGTACAAGGCCCATTCGCTACCATTCTTTTGCCTGGAATTAAATACTATGGTTATTAAAATATTGGGTTTTGTCATTTGCAAATGATCTAACTGCAGGTCATTTATTATGTAGTATCAATAATGGCTTTATTTCCCAATAACACACCTTAACTTGATGCCTTTTCTTGTTAATAGATACAAGCTGTTCTCGATGTGGCATCTGAGGCTAAACGCATAATTCTGCTATCAGGAACACCATCTTTGTCAAGGTTACACATACAGCCAAAGCTTCAATACTGCAATTAATGGCATTATCTTCATAAAGTCTTGGCATTCTATTTTTAATCTTGTCATGCTGTGGATATTTTTCTTTTAATTTTTGTGAATGTCTAAACAGTGAAATTCTTGCTAGGTGATCATAGGCCATTTGATATTTATCATCAGATAAATATGTTATGGTGAGCCTCTTTGTCTTATGTTGCATAAACCTAATTTTCCTTGCCTTGTGAAATCCTAAGGTGATTTTTTCTCCTTTTAGGCCTGGCCTGCTGGGTAAAGACAAATATGAGTATGCAACTACTTACTGTTCTGCAAAACTTATCAACAATCATAAAGGAAAGACATTCATGGTAAAGTTTGTATCCTTCATTGAATTTGGATTACCTCATCCTTATTTAAGGAAAAGAATTATGTCAAATTTTAAAAATTATGCATTTGTTCAAACTATTTTCTTAGGTAATGAATGAGTTCTCCATCTTTTGTTTATATTGATTAAGACACATTTCAAAATGCTTGAAGTGTGTATTATATGTACAATGTCATGCATTCAGTGGCAAGTCTTTACTTGAGCTTTATGGAAATGTCTATGTGTAATCAACCTACATAATTGGAGAAGTACTTGGTTTGGTTAAGATATCCACTATCCAGGGTATTCCTTTCTTCTAAGAATATTAGCTTGTACTTGGTGTTAAATTCAATCCAAACTAGATTGAGCTCCTTTGGAACATTTTCTTTCGTTTCTAAAGAAATAGTGCCATTCTCAAAGCAAAGTTGGGCTTGACACATGAAATCTATACTTGGCATAAATAATAATACACCCGTGATATTGTTCGTGAGAGAGCTCACCTCCCAAAGTCCCATGGCTCTCTTTGTATCGATTGCCTTGTTGCAGAGAACAAGTGGTCCTCATTTTTTTTTTCGCAAATGAGATTATTATTAAGCCTTGGCTGTGTAGAAGTAATTTAATTTAGAATTTATTACAAGTCTCTGAAATTATTGAAAGTCAATTAACCCAATCTTCCTGCATCTTTTGTAGGATGTCTCAAGGGGCACCCGTTTGGAGGAGCTGAATGTTTTACTTAGACAAACTGTCATGGTCTTCCTCTCTTCTCTGCTTGACCATGCATCTATTGAGCTTTTTTCATCTTATATAGTCTGTTCATATGCATGTAACTAGTATAGAGTTTATTGGTTGATAAACTTTTGAATTTCTACTGTTGCAATTTCTTTTCTGCTAATATTTGAAATTTGGATATTTCTTTGACTACATATATCCAACTTACCTATATTCGCTTCTGCTTTCTAGATACGGCGTTTGAAGGAGCATTTGCTAGTGCAGTTACCGCCTAAACGTAGACAAATTATTAGCTTATCTTTAAAAAAATCAGACATTGCTTTTGCGAAGAATGTTGTGGCAAATCTGGGAGAGTCACATACTAATCATGCTGGTAAAGATGATGATAACAGTACGATATAACTATAAGATTTAAATTTATTTGCAATGTCATGTTTTTGTCTTATTGTATTGTCCTTTTCTGATCCCTTTGAGTGAGGCAATTTCTTTTTGGGGTTCAGTTGGTTTCCTTTTCCTTTCTGCTCATGATTTTTGTACCTTGTTCCCTTTTTTTTTAAGGATGCTATCGGTTTCTAATATAGTATAATAGTATTAGGCTTTACAATTTCCATGGCAAATTGAATGACATATTATAAGTTTTTTATTTTTTATTATGTATATACAACCAGATTAAAGTTAGTTTTGGACTGATTATTGCTTATTTCTACTAGTATGTGCTGGTATGGTAGATGTGATAAGTTAGTGAAGTAAATAGATCTATCATTAATGTCTACATTGGTGGTATATAGGTTTCAAGGTGAATTATGATCCCTCATGATGTTACCATATAGATGGTTCTCACTTTGAGGTGATTTTTTTTTGTCTGCAGACGCTGGAGGGCATGATCGAGAGCTATCTGATCAAGTGCTTGGTATTTCTAAGGTGCTTGGATTTCTTGATTGGCTTTCCCTTCACCCTATTGTTACTGAAGCAGATGACTCAAATAATGCCGAGCTGGATGCGAGTTCTCACAAAATGATAATATTTGCTCACCATCTCAAGGTCCTAGATAAATTACAGGTGAAGAGCTCTTCATATTTCTCTTGCTTCAGGTGTTGCCAATGTTGGCTAACCAACTTTAATAATGATGGAATTGTTATATCATTATTAAAGCTGCAAATATACCGTGATAGTTGTGTTCTCTGGCTGTGTAATTTTACTTTCAGCAACTGCAAAATGATAAAATTGAATCCTTTCATTCATAAGAGGACCACCTTTCTATAGACCAATGTGCATTTTAGTTAAGAGAAGTTAGGTTCTTGTTGTTCCTTTTACGTCAAATACCCTTTAGTAGCAAGCTACATAGGGAATTTCCATTTCCATGGTAATTGATCAATCTGTGGGGCATGGCGATTTCCATAAAAAGGAAAGCCCCATTTAAACCTAAGATTAAATCACTGCAACCAAACAACTAAGGCTTATATCTTTTTTTCTAAATTGAGCAGGAAGTTAAAAAACCTAAGATTAAATGGAAAGATTAGCTATTTGGAAGTGTTATGTTATACACTTCTTGTGTTTATTCTTATGAATGGTTACCCATTTTCAGGCGTTCCTTTGTAACAAAGGCATTGGTTTTGTACGCATTGATGGTAATATACTTGATCGCGACAGGCAAATTGCTGTGAGGTCATTTCAGTCATCAAAAGAGGTTACTTATGCTCTTTATCCTCACTTATGCTCTTTATATTGTCATCGTTTGATGCTTTGCAATTTTCACCGTATTTGAATTTGCCTCTAGAATTCAGTTGATTGTCCCTTCTAACTTACTATGAGTTCATTCTCAGTATGCGAGCTCAATGTGTGTGATTTTGCATGTAGAATTCAGTTGATTATCCCTTCCATCTTACTATGAGTTCATCCTCAGTATGCAAGCTCAATGTGTTCCTATCCATGTGCTGACCATAGTGACCAGAGTGTATGTTTTCCTATCCATGTGCCGACCACGGTGACCAGTGTTCCCTCTAATTTTCTTGTCTAGCAAAGGTTTAACAATACCTCAGAATGTTTTTTTTATTTAAAGACATGCTTTTAGAATTACTCTAGTTTCTACGACAGAAACACGTCATCTTCCTGTCTTGTTTTGAAGAATTAAATAAAAAAGAATGATGTAAGCTGTTATATTTGTAGATGGATACATTTGGTTGAAGTGATGAATGGATCCACCCAGATAATGTGCATTATTTTCAAAATTGAATGAGTTTATGTAACAAACTAGTTCAGCTAAGCAATAAAAACACACACACAAGTAAACACTAGTGACTGATTTAGAGAAGAAGGCAGCTATTTTCGTTAATAAAGGTTCAAACTTTCTTACAAGGAGGCTTGAGGCCACCACTCTCACTCAGTGACTTGAGGTCACCACTCTCCTTTCCCAAATGACTTCAAATATCTAGCTACCTAGCATATTCCTCCCTCCCCTTTCTTATATATACACAAACAGCCAAAATAAAGTAATATCAAAAGACAAAAGGTGTGCAGCTGTCATCATGTGATATGATAGCAGACCACTGCCTTGGCTGCTCACTGATTTTCATGTTGCTGCTCCACAACTCCTACCCTTGACGGCTTTCCCTGTCCTTTCTTGCTCCTTCTTGTGTATGTGATCCAGTCACCCTTCTGCTTGCTTGAGGCGTTCATTACAGTTTATTATAGTGATCTTAAAGGCAACAATAATTTTTTTGACTAGCATTATAATATGATATCCTGTATTTATATTCAGAAATTATGTGATGTAGGTCAAGATTGCAATCATCGGAATTTCAGTTGGCTATGCAGGACTGGATCTTTCAGTGGCTCGTAATGTGGTCTTCCTGGAGCTTCCCAAAGACCCAACTTCCTTGCAGCAGGTATAGTTGAGCTGGTAATTGATAATGTGCTGAAGTCCATAATCTTATATAATTATTGAATAAAAAATTTGAAACTACTGATGTATACTTTCTATTTTTTTACGGTCTCCAATGCACACCTTTGACTATCACAAGTGACTTTGTGTGCTATTCTCTTAAAATTGGTAAATAAGTGTGCATGTTTGCTGTCTAATTGTGCTTAGCATTTTAGGACTTGGCTGAGGAAATATTCGAAATAATAGATCTTTTTTCAAGAGGACTATGCTCCTTTAGAAGCTTTTGTGTTCTATCCTCATTTCAAAAGTGAGGGTTTGGAACAAAGTTGTCTATGTAGCATCACTTTGGCTATAATCTTCTTATGAGTATCTTTGACTGGTATGATGATGAATTTGAGAAATTAATTGCAACATATAGTAACATTTTTTCCTCCAAATGTTGCAACCTTTTTTTTTCTCCCCTTTCTATAAATTTTTCTTTTTAAAATGAAATAAATAAATAAAGGAGAGGGAGAGAAGGATGAAAATTGTATAAGAAAACAATGACGCTTCAGGACTCTCCCTCTTAACTTGAGATATGTTGGAGATGAAGCATATAAAGGTACGCAGGAAAACAAATGTGCTTTGATTTCTATAGAAATAAACCAACACCTTCAATTTTGAGCATGGAATGGGCCAATGTGTAACATGTCTACTGTAGGATGTGTAAATTCTTGTCGTTGATTTCATGAGTTGAAGATACGGTTTTGTTGCGATTGCGGGAACAGATATGATGCGTGATCACAGACCATGTCACGATTGTCACAATGCGAATTTGATTTCAAAGCCTTCTTAGGATTTTATTCTAGTTGTACGTTATTAGAATCGTTAGAATAGATTAGTAGGGGATTAGAGCCTTTAGTGGGGAGACATGGGGAATTATTCACTATGTCTCTGAATAGGAAGTAACTTTTGTGTGAAACACGGGATGTTATGTTAAACAGGTTTTTAAAACACCCCCTGTTGATACGGACAAGATCACAGGTGTTTGAAACACCCCCTGTTGATACGGACGAGATCACAGGTTTTGAAACACTCCCTATTGATACTAACAAATTTGGTTTGGTCAATTGTAAAGGATTTTCATAGAATGGAGAGAATTAGAAATCATAAAGAGGATAGGAGAGAAAGAAACGCAAAGGGGGGGAAAAAAAAAACCAACAGACCTCATCCTGGGATTTAAACTCAGGACTTTCAGTTTATGGCACTCGCATTTCACCACTGTGCCACTGCTCTTTAGTCATTATTGTCTCCTGATTTATTTCTATCCAATTTTGGGGGCCCTGTGTGGTGGCATTGCCCCTGTTTGAGACCAATCTTCTCACAATACTTCTTCCTTCTGTTAACTATTGAGTCATCTTAGCATCAACTCTTTTCAATGTCATTTACTAAGCACATTTGCTATCTGTATTATGATTGCTTTTGAGTAGAACTTTGATTAACCTTTGCAGTTGCTTGTTTAGGCTGAGGATAGAGCGCATAGAAGAGGACAAACCAATGCAGTCAACATTTACATATTTTGTGCAAAGGTTTTTCCCCTCCCTTTTGGCTTCATGCCTTTATGTTAGATTATGTGATCTTCATGTTTAATTTTCTCATGGAACTCTAGGATACATCTGATGAATCACGCTGGCGAAAGTTGAACAGGATTATTCAACGTGTTTCATCTGCAATTGATGGGAAGTATGACGCAATAAGAGAGATTGCGGTATTCTTTCTTTTCTTTGCCCAGTGGATTGTAAGATCATCATTGTACAGAAATAGGATCCACCAATACAGAAAGAGGGTGGAGGACATCATATTGAATGTTTATCTAGATTTTAGAATAATATAAAAAGAAGGGATTAGGGAACATAGAGGAATGACACTGGAATTTAATTGAGATATAAAATCTGACTGCTATTTATTGTCAAGGAAGAGAAAAATTCTTACAGTTCGTTTCTTACTTGGTAGTAACAGGCAGTATTGAGGAATGAATATAAATCAAAATTTGTGAGAAAAATTCATTCTAATGTCTATCTATGGTTATGCTACTCCATCTGCAGATACTTTTGGGTGTAAAAGACTAAAGAGATACGTTTGGGTGAACTAGCATTACCATGGGCATTGGAACATGACTTCTCTTACAAATTTTCATACAAATTATACTCATCACCAACATATAATATCACCTAACAAGCAGTTGATAAAAGTTATAAGATGAATTATAACTTGGACTTGGTGGACTGTGCTTTAAAGATTAAAAGTTGAATTAAAATGGTCCAAAACTTTTCAGTATCCAAGAATATGATTATGTTAAAAAATCATTGGGAAATTGGTTTCCTCGTTGCATGATGTCCATTTCTTATGTAGACTATTGAGTGAAATGGGTTCTAATTACAAACAGGTTGATAATGTATCATGTATCAGAAACATGAACTTATTTCAAAGTGTGAATTCAAGTTATGCTGCTCCATCTATAGAGAAGTGTCCTACAGATGACAACGTACAGCAGAATGGAGCCGATTATGATGATGATGTTAAGGTAGGTAAATGAGAACTCGAGACATTGGTCATTAATTTTAACATGCTGATTTATGATGCTTTAGTACTACAACGGTTGAAATTTGAATTTTAACTTTCTCTTGCTTACTTCCCCCCTTGTTTGAATTTTTTATTCATCATTTAGAAAACCCTGTAAATAAACAGGAGAATTGAAGTATACTGCTACAAAGATACACAACCCATGGACATTGGTAAAAGTCGTATATTTATTTATGGACACTAGAAATCAAAGGAAGTCAAGCGAAGTGATTACAGATGTTCGACCTGTTCCCCTTATACCTCCAAACTGCTGACATTAAACTCTCAGTCCTGTATGACATAGTTCAACTGGGTTTTCTTTCTAATATATAGTGCATATGGTTCACCCTAGATAGTCATACTTGGGTTTGCTTCCACGTTGTCATGAAAATTACCTTTATGGATTACATTTGCCTAATCCAAAACATCTTAGACACTGACAATGTTACAAAGTTAGGTATATATTGTAGCTGAAGTCAGTGGAATCTAGAGTCTAATGCTCTCTTACTCCACATGTTTCCAGTTCTAGGTGATTGTGACTTGTATCTGGATTACAATCTGTTCAGTTATATATTGTAGGTATTGCACTGCATAAACCCATATTATAGTGTATTGTTATGAAATCAAGGATACTGGACTTCTCAATATTTCTTTTATCTAGAAAGGTCAGGGGGCAGCTCATCGAATACCTGAACATCTTGCACAAGGTTGCTGATGTATAATTTACTAGATTCTATGTATAGATTTCTTGCCTGGAAGCACCCACTATGATAGTTGGAGTAAGAAAAAGATGATCACATTTTAAAATTTGTGGTCCTAGTTGAATAGAGAATTCCAATAATACATATATATTATATATATAAAGGTAAGAAGAAATAAATAGGGGTTTGTGTTTCATCAATCCTGTATTTGTAGGTGCTGACTCTTATGTTCAATATGTTATGCAGACAGATGAAATGGTTGAAGTGACACAGGAGTTAACTAAAGAGAATGATTGTTTGACCATAAGTCAGAGCTTTGTCCAAGTAAATATGGATTCACTGCGCTTTGCGGTGAGCATTTACACCTACCTTTTTACTTCATTTTAGTTTTATACTCCTTGCTTTCAATTAAACTACTTGTGTCCTCATTCTAGCGTGCCACTAAGATCTGTGCATGAAGTCGTACGAGTTTGTATATGTTGTTATGCATAAACAATTTAATTGTTATGTATATGATTGATACACTTCATGCACAAATCTACTTTTGCAGCTTAACAAGAACAAGTTTATCCCATTTACCACATTAGCTGATGAAGTTTGTAGGAAAAAAAAAAAGAATTCAAATCTATGTGGAGAATTTTAACACCCAATTCAATACTTTTATGAATGTCTTGGCATTAACTTGCTAGTTATGGAATGGTCTGGTAGAGGGTCATTAAGCTTGGATTTATTAAACAATGCGGACTACCACCAATTATTATAGGATGGCATATTGTTTCAAGATAGATTTTCAGTAATTGAAGTACAGCTGTAGAAGAAACCCTAATATATCTATTAAATATTTATTATGTGTTTTTTATATTGTGAAATTATATTTGACAGTGATGGAATTTAATATGGATTGTTATAATGGTTGATTTTCAGTAATTGAAGTACAGCTGTAGAAGAAACCCTAATATATCTATAAAGTATTTATTGTGATTTTTATATTGTGAAAAATAATATTTGACAATGATGGAATTTAATCTGGATTGTTATAATGGTAATTTATGTTTGATTCTATCTTCTTCAATACTAGATTCGATATTTCCAGTTTTGTTTCCGCGTTGCTGGAAAATATGTTTTGATATGACTCCACCTTCCATTTGCAATTTTTTTGCCAATGAATAATGACTATAATCTTTACCTGAATTGTAGGTGAGTCAGTATACTGGAAGAGTCCACTTGTGCACTTGTGATCTTGCAGAAGATTCAGCACCTAGATCATTATCTGAAAATTTCCGGCTAGAGGAAATCTCTGCTGATCCCAGTGAGTGGAGTTCTGTCTTCATCAAGGAGAATCCTACTTGCCAGCTTGCTATTGTGAGCTTCATAAATGAGTGGAAGAACCTGAAACACATTGAAAAGAAGAAGTTGTTTGGAAAGCCTTTGCAGTTACCTTTAGCCATTGAACTATTGCGCCTCAGTGAAAGCAACAACCACGATAGAAATGTACATTCAATAGCCATGAATTTCTTATAGATTATTGTATTATTACACTCTTCTAAAACATATTTAGTTCATCTTAACATGGACTTCTGAAAGGAGGAAGCAAGAGAAGGCATACACCATTATTTGAAATAAGTTTCCCTCTTCAATCTAACGCAGCATTAAAGCAAGTTTGTCTCCGTGATGGTAGAAAGAAGAAGACATTGCACTTACAGTATTGGACGCTAATGGATGAACCCTTATGCAAATTCTGCCAAAATACTTGCCAGTGAGTATATTTTTGGAGTATATTAGATCTCTTACAGTTGTTCATGATTGAAATTAACTCTCTGCTTTCAGAGGTATCAATGCCAAGAAGCCCAAGGGGTTTTTTGATCTTTTCTGCTCAAACGTCTGTTATGACGAGTATCGCTCAAGAACTAGTGGCAGATACCTTCGTCAGGTTTGCATCTTACACTTGTGTCAGTATTAATGTGACACTTGAACACTGCTCAAATCTTTTATGTCCTAAACACTGCCGTTTGGTGTTTCAGGAGCTTTTTCAAATTGAACGTGGTATCTGTACAAATTGTCAGCTCGACTGCCACAAGCTTGTGCAGCACTTAATACCATTAGCAATGGGAAATCGAGAGAAGTATATCGAGCGTGAGGCGCCGCAATTGACTAAGCACAGAAAGTTGTATGAGGCCATATCATACTATGCTATTTTCATTTTAATTTAGTTGTAGCTTGTGATGTCTTATGTCATGGTTAATACAAGTACTTAATAGTTTTGCATGTATGATAATGGTGACATTTTCTGTACGATTAGACTCATTTGTCATACAAAGTATTTCTAAAGTATCAGGAAAAATTTGAAGTATTTCTAGATCATCATTAAATTCAAATGCCATATGCTCCCTTGTTTATTGCATTTGTGAAATTGTGAGTACCACTTATACTGATTTTTTTTCTTTCTTTCTGAAGTGCCATAATTTGAGATTTTTCCTTTTTAGGCTTGACAAACTTGTTCGTGAACCAACTGAAGGTAATGCCTGGCATGCAGATCACATAATTGCTGTGTTCATAGGAGGAGGTATGGTACATTTCTGTCAATCTGCATGTTTTTTTCATTTACTGTTAAATTTCTGTCTTTAATGGTCTAGTTCTGTGATGGATGCTTTGTTTATTGGACTAAAGAATGCAACCATTAGTGAACTGCAATTTTGTAGGATTGGAGTTCATTTATAGACAGTACCTCCTTTTATTGCTTGTTATACTTCCGCCTCAGTATAAATGTTTCTATATTGAAGGAAAATCCAAAACAATATGCACTCTTTTCTGCTAGTAAATTTTTAATCCTTTGGTTTTATGTAAATTCCATGTATATGTTTAATTTAATATTCACAGTACTGTGTTAGTTAAAATAACTCAATGAATGAGGATTAGGATTTTTTTTTAGGAAATTTTGCAAAAAATTTCCTTATAAAAGCATTTTTTTTTTTTTGCGAAGTCATACCTTAATCAATTTTTTTTTTTTTGGCGAAGTCAAACCCCATTTTCTAGCGTTGACTACCCCAACCCCACCCACGAAACCGCCCCCTCCCAGCCCCATTCACGAAATCACCCCCTCCTTAGCTCCACCCACGAAACCGCCTTCCCTCCTCATCCCCACCAACGTAATCGAACCCCCTCCTTTCCACCACCCCGCAATATCTGGGTTTAGGATGGTTCGAGTTTAAAGTTAGGGTTTGGGGGGCGCGGCCAGGGGTGCCGGCGCCGACAGTGGAGGGGAGAGGGGTGGCTAGGGCTATAGAGGAGGGTTTAGGGTGGTCAACGCCGTGAAAGAGTGGTTTTTGGGTGGGGCTGGGGAGGGAGGTGGTTTCGTGGGTGGATTGGGGTAGTCAACGCCGGAAAAAAGGGCCAAACCCCATTTCCCGGCATAAAGGTATGACTTTGCAAAAAAAAAAAAAATTGATTTAAGGTATGATTTCGCAAAAAAAAAATTATGAGGTTTTAAAAGAAAAAAAAAAGCTTTCATAAGGAGGTTTTTTAGCAAAATTTCCTTTTTATTTTTTTTTAATTTTTTTTATTGTCATGTCTGAGCTGCCCTTTCACTATGTTCAACTTTGCAGGTGAGTGCACATTAGAAAACATGAGGACGCTATGTGTGGCATGTCATGCTGCTGTTACTGCAGCCCAACGTACCCAACGATGTATGGAAAATAAGCTATATAGGAAGGCTTTGGCCAGTTTCAGAAAAAGTAATAAAAAGAAGACACTGCGTAAGGTATATTAGACTTCATAATTATTCTTCAAATTCAAGAATTGTTTCAGAGCATTATAGTAGCATTTTACACCTGTATCCAGAAAGATATGTCGACAGCTAAATTATACTACAGTGCAGCGTTGATGAACAAACATAAGCTAAGGCAACCATTTTTTCTTAGAGCCTTAGAGGTGAAAAACAAATGAGGAGATATAAAAATAACCTTCTCTATCAGTTTAAACTTGAGGTTTTGTATAAATTTTTTATTATTCTTGATGGTCCACTTGCTATAGATAAAAATGTTTACTCTACTCTTTAATTGCAAAAGTCATGCAGTTTAAATTTTATTTCATTAATCCTTTTGTACAGAACCGAAGTTCTGCAATGAAAGAGAAGTTAGATGATGACAGTGAGTTACTAATAGATGTACCTGGCAGCAATTATTCTAAAGAATCTGTAGAGAAAAAAGATATACCTGGCGGCAATTATTCTGAAGAATCTGAAGAGAAGAAAGATATACCTGGCAGCAATTATTCTGAAGAATCTGAAGAGAAGAAAGACGATAGCAGCTTGAAACAACCATTGATTGCTGACTTCTCCAAGTTTAGCTACACTGGCACCTGTTGAGTCTATTTTAGCATGCAGGCTTGCAGCAGTGAAATTTAAGGCACTAAGTTTGAGCATACTGATGCTTTTTGGAACAGCTTTTTAAAGGAGCTTTTTAGGGGATTGTATGCAGTAGGTCTTGTGTGTATTATGATTTTGCTGTAGTATTGTTTAGTCTAGGATACATGTTGTAATCAATTGTCAGGTAGTACAGGAAATTTACTGTATGAATGAAGTGTATCTTACTGCAATTATTCCATGAAATTTTCATTATATTAAAATAAATTTCAATTCTAAAATGCTTGAAATGTTCTTTATATAAATATAAATGTCAATTCTAAAATGCTTTGGACACAAACATTTCCCTCTGATAAACTGCAATGCCAGTTTCCATACAAGAAAAAGGCTCAACAGAAGAGGGAGGGGACAATTGGAACAATTGTGTAAATTCAACTTATTTCATTAGACTTTCAGAGATAAATTAAACTATAAGCATAATCTTCAGTTCTGCAAAAATGCATCTGCTAGAACTTTATTGCATTTGTGCAAGGTTTCAGAATGAGTACAGAATGTATCCCTTGTGTTTCTAAAGCTTTGTATTTCTTTATGTACTGTTTTTCTACATTTATAGCACCCAGCTTTAATGGGTTATCAATGATATTCACATATTACATTTTGGAAAGCTCTAAATATAAAAATGCAAAATAGGGAAGCTGTCAAGCTGGCCATACAAAAGCTTCAATCCAATGAGTTATTGTGACTGCACATGATCTTCTATATCAGATTTTCTCTTGAATACTGAGGTGAGAATCCAAGATGGTGCTCAAACTGTAAGCATGCAGGACGCCTCTTGATCATCATGTTAAACATTCAAAGAGTATAAGATCCATGCATTCAGAATAGCAGAATAACCTGAAGATAAACTTAAGCAGGTGCTTCATTGTTATGTTCCTCAGAAAAAAATTGCTCTGCTCGATCAACAAAGCTTGGTGGAAACCTACAATACAAAGGCAGAACAGTGGGAGCTACTGAAGCCGGACTTTTAATCTTTGAAGTTGTGTCTTCCAAATTTTTACTCGTTCTGCTATCCCTAGGATTTCGGATCTTGCCATTTCTACCATTACTACTCCCAGAAACATTTCCCTTGGGGAGAGAGAGACGAGAGCCTCTTGTAGTAAAACGGGTTGATTTTACAGATGCATCACTTTGCAGTTTCTTACGCTCAAGAGTTACCGAAGAACTCTCAGTTGAATCTTCCACAGAAGGATTTCCTGTCGGGGACTTGGACCTAACTAAAGGCAAACTACTTTTCCAAAACTTCACCAGAGAAAGAATCATTTCTGTACTGAGCTCCTGTTGGACAACGCCTTTGTTCTGTTCGCAACCAAAACAGACCGCAACCAGAGTTCCAGCAAGGATTGGCATCAATTCTGGATCGCTAAAGAATGCAATTGGTAAATCACACACCTGGTATTTAAGAGGCCCAATGTCAATACTTGTTTCCGTAGAATCAAGAGAGATATCAACAGAGATTCACTGACCTTGTGAAGGATTGTTGGAGTGTTTCCCCATCGAAGGACTGCTTGATTTCCAGGGTGAAATAAAGAAAAGTACCCAAGAAGCATCAATGATTCAAGTAGCAGCATACCCACCTGACATAGGCAAATGAGCGTCATATAAATTGCACATATATTGTGTACATAATTACACTGAAAATTTTGTTCGAAGCTACCTTATGCATTTAGGTCAATTTTATTATGCACTTGACAAATTATGCAAGAAATAAGTCATTATAACTATTGTTTCCCAAAATAAAAAAAAAAGGCTAATAAAAGGTATTTCGTATTTTCAAAAGAGATAAATTTAGTTATGAACTTAGCCTCCTTATTACCACAATGACATTGAGATAAAATCTTAATACAGTATGTAGTAATGACGGTGATAATATAGTAAGCAATACAATACACAACATCCACTAAGTGGCCAGCCGGGACATGCACAACCCCATTGAATAGAAAAGTTTTATACTGCAATACAATTGCAAATGGTAGTCAGCTAAGTTTTAGGTGATTGTTGCACGCAGACAATGCAATTCAAAACCTTAATAACCATGTTCGAATCCTGTAGATTTTACAAGTCTTTTCCCTTTAGAGGAGGGTTTAGGGTGGTCAACGCCGTGAAAGGGTGGTTTCGTGGCTCATATGTTCATTTATTTATTTCCTCTTAATTTTCGTGTCTTTTGATTTGATCACTCTTTTCCCTTATAATGCTATATAAGTGAGTCTAATTATTAGCTGAGGAGTACTCCCTATGTTCCCTAAAGTTCTTCCCACTTTCTATAGCAACAGTTACCAAGAAAATGAGGAGAGTGTGAAAATAGGTCTCTAATTATTCATTAAAAAGGGGAGAGAATATGCTTGTGAGAGTATGTAGAGTTAAGTGAGTTAACCAGGAATAAAGCAAAAGTGGGGAAGAGCATTATGGAACAACATGAAACGAAAGAGGGTATTTTCTTATAATTTTAAGGAATGGAGCTGGTTGGAATTATTCATCTTTCACTATCTATTGTAGTAGAGTGTACCCTAGCAAATGCATGGATATTAAACTATTAATCATATAAAACCCAAGTACGAAGTATTATTTGTATTTTTTAAATACTTTTCTCAACCCATACGAAAATCTCACATTCAGCCACTAACAACAATGAGAATGGAAATAACTCCATAAAACAAACAAAATTCACAAATAAATTTCTAACAAAGATATTAGGATAGACCACGTACAAATGGCAGAAATATATTGAGCCCACAAGCTATGAGGTACCATCTTATCCACAAGAAGATTTTCCCTTAAAGATCTATTGGTTTGTGTCCTTAAGCATAACAGTAGATTGTCGGAATTCGCTATGTATTTGTAGTCTTTAAAAAAACAGCCATGGCCTTTAATACGCCAGCATTGCAGCTTGAAGCCACTTGATATAAGACTATAGATGTCTATTATTTAAAGATATTGTAATCACCTATCTGACGTTGGTGGTTCAATACTGGCAGTTAGCACATCAGTGTATACAATTGAGGTGGGGATATTGGGATACTCCCTCCGTGTTATAATAAGTATTACACTTACCAAATGCAGCCGTGTTTTAATAAGTGTTACACTTTCTTTTTTGTCTAAAGGCTACATTTTAATAGTATATCTCTCTCCTCTCATGGTCCCCACCCAAACCCACTACTACATTTTTTATTATTTCCCCCCTCTCACATTCATTACTTTTCAATAAATTATTAAGCCCACTATCTTTCTTTACAATTTTTTAATACTCCAAGTACCCCACTTATCTCTTATTTTATTTAAGTCAATTAAATTGCCTAAAACTATGTGCCGGTCAAAGTGTAACACTTATTAAAACACGGAGGGAGTAAGAAAGATAAACAAGAAATTAGTACAAAAGATTATCAAATAGCATTAGTAAATTACCTGATCACTTGCAACTTTCCAGTTATTGGTACAGTGAGTAAGTAGGAAACCCATGATATGGAAAAATTCCATTTTCAGGTCTGGCATGGCCTACAAAATTACAGTAATATTATTAAAAATGGATAATAGATCACAAGCATTATTCAGATACTTAAATACAAAAAAAGGCAGATATATCATGGGGTTCCCGGATGGTGCAACTGTGCAAGTATCAGGACAAAGGAGAAAGGGATGAAAGTGACTTACTAGCATTTGCTGCATAAAAGTGATGTCTGTGAGAGCCAGATTGTTCAAAACCTTCAAGACACAGGTGGCCACTTCCTCAAAATTTGTGGGGAGAACATATGAGCCCTAGAATTGAAGAAAATAACTTTTAGTATGGTATCAGATGCAAAGTCTAAGGCATATAACTTCTTTTGTATGATCACACATAAACTAACAGATTAACAAACAAATCCAAACAAAAAAACCAAAAACCAAAAGCAATATAAGATTAGATGTTTTCAAATATACTCTTCTCTAATTAAAATTGGATAAATATTCAATGTAAGGTTTAGAACTTAATTGACTTCCACCATTTCAAAAGTTGAGGACTACTAACTTTTTTTTAATTCTTTTGCAGGGCTTGATAGAATGTCCTGTACTAGAAGGATTTACATGCATCCCACTCCTATCTATCTTAGTCCAACACTACCCTTTAATGGACCATGAGGAGAGCAGCTCAACTGAACAAATCAACGGAGCAAACCCTCATCTAACTCCATGTATAGCATAATTCTCTCGAAATCAAGAATAAGGGCAGAGAAGGTCTTATTGTAAAGGGCTTGCACCAGAAATAAGACTAGGTATAGTAAGTCTATTTTGGCCATTTAAGGGGCAGAAGAACAGGAATTTATTGGGATGTTATAGAAATCAAAATCCCTCGCTCCTGATTCCAATAGATTGATTTGTTCATGCCTCTATCTAACTTCTTTCCTGATTTAGCAGATTTAATTCCAGTTCAAATCTAAGTGGAAATTTTCCAACCTTAGCTTCTAACAGAGTTGAATTCTCTTTTCGCAGCCTAGGGAATAAGGAAGCTTCACAAAAAGGACTTGGTGTGCCTGAGATGATTAACTTCAATGCAAACAGAAATGACTGACTGGCAAGATTAATAACATAAGGGACAAAATGTCTGAAACAACCAGATTTGAAATTTCATCCTTACCCAATAACAGAGGTTCTTTTGTAAAAATATTATTTAAAGAGAAAAAAAAAAAAAAAAAAAAAAAAAAAAAAAAAAAAAAAAAAAAAAAAACCAACCTATCTAAAGAAGCACAATATTTAACATGGAGATATGAGTCGACAATGGACAAATAAATTTGACAGCATATACTATATACACATATGTTGAATCTTGTCACTCATTTTCAATGTGTGTATTCAGAATATTAACTTTTCACAAATTTTACTAACATGAAATCAAAGATATTATTGGTCAACAGTGTATTGGAAATGTGAAAAAGCAATTGGAAAAAGTAAATTGGGACAAAAGGAGTGATTATTTTAACAATTATACTTGTTTCGGAAATAAAAACTCATTAATGGGATTGACAGTTTGTTAAAGAAAAATATAATTAATTTGGTATACTGTATACTCCTTGATATTGGTTATAAACTAATGGTGAAGTTTGACTATATTAGATAGGATAGTATATAATTAAAATGACCTTCCCAGAAAATACTGATTCACTGAAAAAAAAAAAAAAAAAAAAAAAAAAAAAACAAAACAAAAAAAAAAAACTGCTATATAAATTAGCTTGGAAGGTGAGATAGCCTTAGGAGGATACCTTAAAGAAAGATAGGAATCAGATCCTCTGTATGGGTGATTAGTACAAAAGAATTCTTAACATGTCATTAATTGAAATTGATACGGTCACTTTTGGGTTACTTGGTTAACATTGAGTTTAAGATTTTGGATCAATCCCTATGGTTTTTAGGCTACATAATGAAGATGTATATGCTAAAGTACCTAGACTCTATAGATAAATTATAAAGTTAGCTACTTAGCTTTAGGGCTTAATAAATGGCTGGTAATCATGGTTCTTCCCTTCTAAGCAAATAAGTAATGGCCTTATATTCAAATAGCCTATAAAATACCAGATACCAACAAAAAGAAAGTGATCGTACGGAAAAATAGTAAAACATAATTAGGTGCGAGAAATTTCAGATTTTTTTTTAACAAATTACCTGTTCAGAAGATAACCTATTGTTTGCCTGCAATAGTACAGCTGTTAACAATGATGGAAGACAGACTAAGCCGGTTTCAGATATAGCAGAAAGAAGAAATGTGTGTGGTTGTTTCACATTCACTTGCTCCCTGTCCTTTTTTCCTAAATTAGTACATGCAGCATTTTTCACATCCTTCTGAGAAAAATTAGACTTAGAAACATGCATTTCTGGATCTTTCTGTGAGTCAAGATGTTCAAAATCTGATCCTGTATTGCTGCTGGTCAACTCAATAAGATTAGTCCCTACCTCTTTTTCACCAATCATTCCAGAGAACAAGGAGTCATTAGAAAGCTTTTCTTTCTGTGATTCACCACATTGCCCATTCTTGTGTACACAAGAAAGTTTCGACAAGTCACAATTTGCAACTGACGAGGACAACCTCAGTCCATTCTGAAAATCAGGAGCAACCAGGCAACCAGAGTTAATGTTCTTCACGATGTTTGATACTTCTACTTCATTTTCAGGCATCAACACCACTGGATAACATTCCCAATCAATGGGAAAAACAGCGCATGGTCTAGATGTCAAAACCACCAAGAGTTTTATACTCAGCAGAATGGATGCTGGAAATGGTGACCCTTCCACAGGGGGTCTGTCATACAGTGCAAAAAGATCTCGTAGTCGGTGGATAATTTGGTAGGAAACAATGAGCTCTAGGAGGCCATCCTGCATTTGACATTGGCGTTCCTCGAAGGTAGGATGGCCGATAATCATCGTTGCAGTCCACAAGAAACCATCTAGTACTTCAGAGATTGAATCAAAATTTACAGAGGAAGTTTTACTCTGCTGTGAACTAGTGCTACCAGGACTATTTAATGATGCTGTGATTTTAATGTAACTCTCAAGAGCAGCAGACAACATTGGAATAAGAGGGGGTAAAAGGTTCTGGGACAGAAAATAACTACAATTTGTAGGCATGAAAAGCACTACTTTTAGAAGTCTCAGAAGGTATATTGTAACTTGGCAAGCTTCAGGCTTTGATATGTGAGATGCAGGCAAGGCAGAAGAGATGAAATCAAGCAGACCGGCCTGGCGAGAAGCTTGTAGTTCAAGTTCCTTTCCTTCCAAATACTGATGGGATGACAAATGACATAAATATATTAGTGAGATAACATATTACCATTTCCTGGTAGAGAAAACTAAGAAATAAAGGCCTTTAACACCAATCAAATGTTAAATTTCCAGCAAACAAGAGAAAACAAGTACATGACAGCTAGGACAGCAGGACAGAATTGTGATATAAGATGTTATCTTGATCAATATAATCGACAATTTGATAATTTGTAAAAAAGAAGCAAAGGATGCTATGGAGACGTTGCAACTTTATCTTTCAGGAAAACCAACTAGACCAACAACAGAATTGCAATTACATGAATCTAAGATCATTAAAGGCCAAACGTAGATGCTCACCCTTTTAAAAAAGACGATCAGATCAGGACCAAAAAAAAAAAAAAAAAAAAAAAAAAAAGAGAGAGAAGAAAGATTATACAGAGTAATTCGTAATAATCTCCAATATAAGTTACCTTTATCATTTCAGCAGTTATTAGACCTATACTTGCTGCTCCTTCCTTCCTTTCTTGCCGAAGTTTTTGCAAATCTTGGACCCATCTCCCGATTTTGGCCCTGGCAGTTGCCACAGATGTTCTATAGCCAATACCAATATTTTCAGCAGCAGAAGTTTCAGGAAGATCATGCTTCAAAGCCATAAGCTTCTGCCTAATTTTCTTTATCCTTCGCTTTAAAGACTGCTGCATCCTCATGCCATTATTCACAAGATTGGACACTCCATCAGCTGAAGGATTATTTGTTTGACTATTATCACTGTTACAGGGTGGTGTAGACCTCCCTTGACCCTCCTTAATTACTGAACGACGCATCAAGGGCGACGATTGATCTCGAAAATCCATTGACGCTCTCTCTCGTATCTGCTCAAGGTATACCTTGCGACGCTGGTCGCTTTCACTGAGTCTTTCAGCCAATCGCTGTGCAAGTAGTTCAGCTTCTTCTTGTTGTGCTTTGGCCCTCTCTTCCTTCCGTCGAATTTGTTCCATGGTCCTTGCCTCCCTGGCAGCGCTTGATGCTTTCCTTTCCTCTTCTCTCCTCAGTTGAGCCTCTTCTTTTCTCCGTTGTGTTTCAGCAAGGCGCTGTAACTTTTCTGCTTCAATGAGTTTTCTACGCTCAATGACAGCCTCTTCTCTAGCCATATCTTCTTTCTGCTTAGTTTTCATTACCTGGAACTTTTCAGCCCTCCTCATTTCTGAATCCTGAAGTTTCTGGCGTAAGAGAAACTTTTTGTTTTCCTCATTCAATGAAGTTATAAAGCGCACCTCATTTACTTTGATACTCTCATCACCAGCTCTCTTCACAACTTGGGCTATATGAGCTTCATGCCGAGATTCACTACGTTGATGACGAGCATACATGCCTTCCCGTAATTTCATGCTGCGAACAGCATGCCACTCACTCACACGATTTAGCTTCTCAGATGTACGCTGAAGTTTTTGGACTCTCTCATTCTCCAACTCACCTCGAATTCTCATAGCACGTGCATGCTTCTCTTCTGCCTCTTTTTTCAAGTCCACAGCAGTCTTCTTTTTCTTTTCAGGGGACATTAACTTATCATGCAAAACTCGTGTACGTTCAGCACTTCTCCTACTCATGCAAGGTGAATGTGAAACACGGGAAGAAAGACGGCGTGAAGGAGCCAGTATTTCCTCCCAATTCCTTTTCTCTTTCCAAGCATCAACTGGCTTCCATGGTTGTGAATTACTCTTATCCTTCTCCTTCTCTTTATCACCAGTAACATTATATCGTTTAAGAACTTCACTTTCAGAAAGCTTCTCCACTTCAGCCAAAGGTACTAGTTGTTCTTTCTTGCCTTTTCCACCTAGAAAGGAGGCAGATCTACCTCTAACGGGTAACTTAGTAGTTATAGGATCAGAAGCAGAAGACACAGAAGCAACACGACTATTTTGTACAGAGGTTTTGCTAGACCTGCTTGTTTCTGTGCTTCTCCTTTCCCTGCTAACATTTACACGGGCAGCATCTGAAATTCCACTCTTCCTCCTTGATTTGGTATCCAATTCAGAAGTATTGGGGGCATTTTCCCTTTTATGCTCATCCATAGTAGGAAGACCACTATGGCCTTTACTAACTTCACCAGAAACACGCTCTTTTGCCCTCTCCTCTTGGATTTTCTTGAAGGCCTCAAGGGATGAAGACAATATTTCTGCTCTATGAGGCGAGGTAGTCATTCTACGAACCTGTATCATGCAATTAAGTAAAAGTCATTTAAATGTAATGTCATTTGAGATACCAAAACGATTAAAAATCTTTGAGGTTTAGCCAGCTATTCTTCCCTTAAGATCATAAAGTGTTCAAAATAATCTACAAAGATCTGCTCCAAAACCTCTTCCTACTCAATTTAATAGTCTAACATCCTATATGATAATATCAAGAGACTAAAGAAGACAGTTGTTTCATAACAATTGCATAGTTTTTATCCCAAATTATCGATCACATAATGCTAAAGAACATACATACACACAATCATCTACAAAATAAGTGACATATTGGTTAAAGATGTTAACAACCTACCTCCCACGAAAGTGCATGAGGCCTTCTGTGGTCGCCTTTGATACTCATCACTGCATCACTTGATGATAGGCATGAATTCTTCATAGTTTCAAACTCCTCCACCCTAATGTTAAGATCTCTGAAATCGGACTCAGCTTCTTGGAGAACAAGAATTGCCTCTTTCACCTGCCCCAAATCACATTCTAGCTCACATAGAAGGTACAACTCATCTATAGCCCTATTAAGATTCTCAAACAGGAAACACCAAAGCCGCTCTCTAAACCTTTCTTTGCTTTCACTGCCTTCAGGTTGTCTAACAGTACTTGTAGGTGTATTCAATGAGCTATCTGTGGCTAAATTATTAGGTAACTCACTACTGCAACCAGCAGGTATGGCTACTGCATTGCAATTCCCAGGAGCTTCTGGTAGACTCTGAACAGATGAAGCAAGCTCTATATCTTGAGCAATAATCATTCCATTTTCATTCTCATCATCAATATCTTTCAAAGCAGATAAACCAATCTCACATACACCAAGAGTGAGAATGGGTGCTGACGAATCAACTATTTCTGTAGGCTTCTCTGTCGATGAACACTGAAACACATCTTTCGATGGTCCACATGCATGTACAGAGTCTTCACCAACACCATCACTTGCTGGTTCCACAGGGTCCAAACCACTATATTTTGCATGAACTATGTTTTCAGTTGCTGAAAGCAATCCCAAATCAATTGAAGCTACTTCATTCACCTCTTTACAGTTTTCCTCAAGGGGTCCATCATTTGGAAGAGACGGCATACTTTGACATACATCACTAGTGACCTCTTTACAGTCTTCCTCTAGGGGCCCATCATTCGGAAGCGACGGTATACTATGGCATACATCACTAGTTGCCTCTGAAACTTCAATAGTATTGTTATCAACTAAAGGGCAGTCCTTTGATAAATTGCAAGCAATCAAATCACAAATATTCCTGGAAGTACCACACATTGCTAAATCATCATCTCCAATTTCGCCAAATCTGAGTTCAGAAACAGCAGCAGTTCCACATTCTGAAGAAATTGCATCATCCTCTAGGTCACCCCACTTGATTTTATGAACCATGTCAGGCTTCTTCTCAGAGACATTTTCATTTGCAGTGGAGGAATTTTGAGAGCTTGTAGTCATTATGATCTTTAAAGGTGGTGTCTTTGGACGCCCATTATCATCACCAACAACACACTTATCAAGGCAGCACTCATCTTTTTCGTGCTCCTTGGAGGACGAAGATTGACTTGATACACCCCTCTGAACAGAATCTTTCCCTGGTCTCGATACATTGGAGCGATGCTTACTGCTAGAACTCCAACCTTTTCCATTTACTTGCTGCCTTGAAAAACCCCCTACCCAATTTTGAATAGAGAACTTTGAGCTGCTTCTGTGTTTCTGAAAAAGAAGAAAAAAACCCATTTCAATGAGACAAAATAAAATATTTGAGAAACTCTATCAATCAACAAGTAAAAACCAAAACTGACAAAGGTTGTCAGCAATTTAGCATCTGCTCATCCTACAGATAATAACTGATTGAACAAGAAAGCTATGAAAGAATCAACAGGCCTGCAGCAATCAATTAAATTTCAATCATGCTCTTCAATTAACTTAGCTAAGGCACTATAATTTCAGAAATCTTGAATACGTTCATAATCAAAGCATAGACATAAGCATAAAAATAAATTATTTTTGCTACAAACAGTCTCTATAAGGCCATACCACCATATATAATATTGTCTACTTGATTCTTAAGAACCCTTAACTAAAACCTGGCAAAGGGGCAATCAGCAAAAGAAGTGCAGTCCATCAACACAAAATACATTTTTCAGCAATACTCAAGTACTATAATTTCAAGCACATAAGTAATTCAATTAGAAATAGCAACAATATTGGCTACATTGAATTGGACCCTCCTTAATAACAAATCATCAAACACATAAAACAAACCCGAGCATTCAACCGTGATTCACAGTTTAACCATATGTACACTATACAGAACTTCTTAGACTGATCATACAAATATACAACATGAACAACAAAAAATCAATCAAAAAGAAAGAAGAGAAATAAAACCTTTTTCACTTCAAACCATCCTGAGCCCTGATCATCGGCAGAAGCTGCAACAGAATCATCCATCCCAATATGATCGAAACCCAGAATTTAATTCCCTGAAATGCATTTAAAATTACCAAGAAAAAGCATACAAATTAACCCAATAAAATTCAACATTCAATTATACTTGGGTACAAATAAACCCTATTATTATTATAGTTACCCGATTGAATGCCAATACAGAAAATTCAAATATATGTTACAGATTACAGACGAAAAAAATTACAAAAATAAAATTCTAGTGGTTCAAGGTGAAATCTTTGATGCCCTTATATCAGAGCTCGACAACAAGAGATATAAAGAACAAAAAAGGAGTGATTTTTATGTGAAGATTATAAATACAGGGTTTAAATTAAGATTTACAAAAATGTTGGTTCAAACAATAGTTCCACAAATAGAAAGATTTGAGACTAGTATGTCAGAAAAATAGGGTTTTTTCTGGTAAAGGAGCAGTTTTGAGAGATGAAGGTGAAAGGGTTAGACTTTGGACTTTGGAGGGAGAAAATGAAATTTTGTACTGGTGGTTTAATTATGGTAGTGCCCAGAAAATGGGAAATATGATCAATGTGAGCTTGGCCAAATTTTATTAAACGCCAACCAGACTGGCGTTTTACCGTTGTACCAAAAGCGTCAGCCTGGTTGGCGTTTTTGAATCGGGTATTTCAGGCAGTGTGGTATTATTTTTTCATTGTTCTTCAAAAAACAAAAAAAAAAAACAGTTTCCAAACCCTAACCCGCGCACATACCTCGCCCAATCCTCCATATTTGCAGCAAATTCATCACTTCCCATTGCTTAGATCTTCATCATACTCACTAAAAATTATTCCTCCTTCTTTATTTAACACTCTTACGCAGTAAATTGATCGTATTTGAGGTATGTATTTAATTTAACTATTTTACTTGTTTATGATGTTTTTTTACGCAGTAAATCAAGTATGTAGTTTTTTTTTTTTTTGCTAAATATGTATATTTAGTGTGTAATTATGTAATTTAAGTATATTTACAAACTACATTGTTGAATTAGGTACATTTCAATATATACTACATTGTTGATTAATTAGGTAAATAAGTACATTGTTGAACACTATTGTTTCGGGGTTTTCTGATGTCCTGCGGGAGAGTTGCAATTCCGAGACTGGAACCGGACGCCTGTACCTGCAAAACAACGGAGACTCCTTGTGGTGGGAGCTCCGCCTCCAACGGTCAAGTTAGTACTTGTTTGAGGAGTGAATAGTGCGGAAAAGTAAAGGTTGGAAGATCTGGTTCCTCTAGGTGAGGAGTGATCAATGTGTTTTGGTTTTCTCTAGGTGAGAGTCCTTTTTTGCTTATGGAGGCTAATGACTGTTTATATAGCCTCGAAGTACGTGCCCAATACTAGGTTTTCTGGGAAAACCTAGGACTGATTGGGCTTGCCTCGGGAATTGGGCCTGCGATGGCCGTTTTCCAGGTTGGCGGATAATGGGCCACATGATGTGACCTGATTAGTCCATGTTGGACCTCTTAGGGTGACAAGTGGCGGACGCTGATTGGCCCACGTGGTGGACATGTGGCAGGTCCGAATTGGTCCATTTGTCATGGGTAATTTTACCCTAAACATTTGCCCCTCGGAAGGAGTTATTTCTCTTTCCAGGAGGGATTGCTCCTTTCGAAAGTTAGACCCTCGAAGCTTTGCTAGGTCGGCATCTTGTCTAGTTCTTATGGGAGATGGACTTGATTAACTTAGAAAATTTTGATACCTTGGGCGGTATGACATTTTCAAAGTTAATCAATCATAATAATGATTGCCGCCGAACTAGACAGATGTCGATTCTTTGCCCCACTATGCAGATAGCCCCTGATCAGGTGGACTGTCAACTATTGCATAAGGGGTAAGCGTTTAGCATTATTCGGTCGTTAGCCTCTTTTGATTCAATATACTAAGTTTGGTACTTAGTTTATTTCGTTGGGGGATGGCTGGTCGTCTGCTTTGGTGGCTGCATAGAAGCAGGCGTCAGACAGGACGTCCAACCAAAGTAGCTACGCCTGTTGGGTTACAGACGACAGCTTTAAGTATAGCCAACCTAGTAAGAGTAGTGGTCGAGTACCTCTGTTTACCAAAAAACAGGCGGACTTAGGTTCCGTACTAAGGAGGGCGACTGGTTAACCTTGCAGTTAGTCAATCACTGCCTATTTTGATTGAGTGGTAGGGCAACCAGGCGGCGGGGGCCGGATAGTCCCCTTGATTCGCCAAGTTTCTCTTGGCTATTAACTCAAAGGTTGTTAATCTAGCAGGAGTAGTGGTTGAGAGCCCCTGTTTGCTAAAAACAGGCGGGCGACTCATACCTTTTAGGCTCCACACTAAGTTTGAGAGAGTGACTATAAGTTAACATAGGAGTTACTCAGTCTCCGTCACACTCTAGCTTGAGTAGTAGAGGTACCAGGCGGCGGAGGCCGGCTGATCCCCTTGATTCGCCAATGTTTGTTGGCTATTAACTCAAGAGGTACCCCCTGAATTTATCCCAAGTAATACAGGGGGTCATCCGACTCAGATGTCAACTGCTACCACTGGTTTGGTTAGTGATAGAGTTATCCTTGTCTCAAAAACGGCTACGTGGTTGCCCTTGGGGACAGTCGTATAGGTGTCATGTAATTAGTTTATAGAGCAATGTTCCACCCAAAAGGGAGCTGCTCTCTGCGACGAATTTCATCCGGAGGGATGCCGTCGGACGCCTGCTATGATGTTGGGACAGGTCGTATTAGTTTTGAAGATTGGATCAGTTGGCTTGGCGCCTGGTCTGATCATTCGGCTTGTGGCCTTGGATAGTTCTTGGTGAACGTAGGTGCTAAATAAGAGGAGGGTAGCCGCCTGTTTAGGCACAGGGTCGGCCAGGCCCTGATCATTTTTTAGCTAAGTATAGGAGGGTGGCCGTTTGTTTTGGAACCAGTCGGCCATCTTCTATGGAGAGTAGCCGATTGTATGTCCAGACGGCATGCCCTTCTGGTGATAGAGTAAAATAATCAAAGTAGAGAGTAGCCGACTATAGAGGTACTGCGGCATGCCCCTCTGATCATAGAGTGAAATACTCAATGGAGAGTAGCCGACTGTAAAGGTACAGGCGGCATGCCTCTCTGAATTAGTATCAAGTATTGAAATAATTTCAAGTGTTAGAGTAGATAGATCACTTAGCTCCCTTCCATGGAGGATTGATGACTCTACTTTCTTCAAATGGGGACAGGTGGTCGTGCTAAACTTGTTTTAATGTGGTTTTGGACCTTGTTGTTCGGCCCACACATTTGTCACTGGTCTTTAGCCCCTTGGTGAAATTGCTGGCTATTGCCATTAATGAGGGTTGGCTGCTTTCATAGCTACGAGACTTCGTCGTATAGGGGGTCGGCTACTAGTCATACCGCCTTTCTTGCCTGATAGACTATCATGCAAACAAGTGGAGGTAATCCACGAAGGGAGACGGTCTTCAATAAGGTGCCGCCTAAACAGTCATAAATAAAACGGTCTTCCGTCTTCCATAGGGTGCCGCCTAACAATCATAATAATCATAATAATGATAAGACCCCTTGTGGCAAGGGATATGCAGGTGACCAGCCGTCTAGCCCCACTCGAGATTGTTCAAGCATACTTTTTTATAATTAGGGTGCCGCATGGTATAGTAGTTTTTTTATTCAAGTCACATAATCCTTATGAGGGCCGGTTGTATAATTATACTCGGTCATCCGTGCTTGGCTGTCCCTTGAATTATGCAAGCTGGTACCAAAACTCATTTGCATCAAAGTATGCTCGACACCATAATCATTGAATTGAGCTAAAACCATGCGGGCATTTCGAAGCAAAGTTCATTTCAGCCCTTGCTTTCAAGGATCGTTTTTTGAGGTGTAGTAGGGTCATGCGCCTATAGCTGCTTGATTTCATGGCCAAATTCTAAGCTTCACTTACACTCGGCCGGAGCATATATGGTTTCTTTATATGAGCACATGAACACATGAAAATATAGTGCCTTTCGACTCGTCAATAGGGGCGCTTGTATTTCTAGACGGATGGTATGATGCTGCTGCTTGTATGAGAGAAAGAGGGTTTATTAGCTTCTTAAAATGGCTTAACAACCGGTGGTACAGTGTTCCCCTACACTCATACAGCCGCCTAGCTGCCTATTTTGTACTTACAAACACTCATTCGACTCGGCTTTTAGAGTTTCTTGGAGTCCGCCATTTTATATTGCTAGCCGACTGTTTTAGGTGAGTTTGTGCGCTTTACACATTCACCTGGCTGGGGCTGGGCGCTATCTGTGTTATTGATTCAGTCGGTGAGCTAGGCAAGTAATGCAGACGGTGATAAGGCCGGTTGATTTATGCTAGGTGTGCCGACTGACTTGGTAGATTGTAATATGTGCCGGCTGTTTTTGTAATTGGATGACCGTGGAGATGTTTTGGAGTTCTCCAGGCTAGACCATGATATATAGCTAGTTTTCATTATATAATAATTCCTTTAATTAGAAATTATAATATATCATCATGCATCATAAAACCATGATAAAGATAGCTTTATCTTTGCATGATTCATTAAGGTGCCCGAGTGATTTCTTGCTCTTGTGGCTGGGATGAGGGCAGGCTGCCGCCTGCTGCTTCGGTGCTAGGACTAGGCCGGTTGTCTATTAGATAACAAGGGGCTTGCTTGCACCTTACCAGATCTTGCACTATAAACCTATGGAATGCCATATTGAAGCCGTATATACGTAGTATGAGGGCTGTTACTTTTGACTGCCGCCTAAGTACTCAAATGCTCAACACATCTTGGGAGCCTTCTACATATGTAGAGTTGGGTGGCTCGCAAGAATTTAGGCGGCTACCTTGTCAGGTAGGCTACTGTCACCTGCTTGCTTTGAGGGACGTGGAATAGATGCCGCTTACTTTTGCTCGATTTTGCTGAGCATCTAGCGTAATCCAGCCATTAATTGTTTTTACTCACGTTTGCGGGCTTGCTGCATTTGTTGGGAGTGCCGAGTGTTTTAACATGGCTGGCTGCCGCCTGTTTTTAACGTGGCTGGCTGCCGCTTGCTGCTACGTGGCTGGGCGTAGGGCGGCTGCCACGAGGGCATATGCTAAAGGCTACTGCCGCCTACTGTCTTGAGGGGCATGTCGCCTGCTCCTTCATCAATGCAAAGCATTCGGCCATCCAAATGCCGTAACGCAAACAGCGAGAAGTGTGCTGCTTCAAATACATACAAGGGGCAGCCATCAACAATACCAGTCGGTTTTTAGCCTTTTAGTCAAATGCCTTGTGATGGCTTGTTGCCGAATGTATCTCCAAATGCGTTGAGATGGCCGGCTGACTTGCTTATTATGCTTTATTTAACAAAATTCGAAGAGTGCTCTGTTTTCATGGAGTTGAAAATTTATTGCCTCGAACTCGGCATTTGGTTGCCTATTTTTGAAATGCTTGTGCCGGCTTCGTGGCTGGTACTAGGCCGGCTGCCGCCTATTTCACCTTGGCCTGGTCAGAGGCGATTGCTGGATACTTGGGCACTAGGTGTCGGCTGTTTACCTCACCCTAACTTAGCCGAGCTCAACC